GGGCACAAACTGAAACGTAAGAGGTTTCAGTTGAATATGAGGAAAAGCTTCTTGACTTTGAGGGTGACAGAGACCTGGCCCAGGCTGCCCAGGGGGTTGTGGAGTCTCCTTCTCTGGAGATACTCAACCCCCGCCTGGACACTGCCCTATGCAACCTGCTCTGGGTGAGCCTGCTTTAGCAGGGTTTGGGATGGGTGAGCTCCAGAGGTCCCTTCCAACCCCTGCCATTCTGTGAAAAAAAGCGGTGCAGAGGAATCACTGCAGAGTGGAGAACAGCGGCTGGTGGTGGCAGGGGACAGCCTCGCCGCTGCAGTGGGAAGAAAAGGCCACCAAGGCATGAGGTTGCTCAAGGTGTGATACAAGGGGCTACGGCCAAATCTGCTCTCGAGCAAAAAGGCACTTGGAGCTGAGCTGCCCGAGACACCCCAGAGAGCAGAAGGGCTCAGCAGTTGCTCCAGAGCTGTTTTAAAATGGAGCAAGCAGCTCTCCCCCTGCCATGACCTCGATTTTAAGAGAAGCAGCATTTTTCATCAGGATTTAATCTAGCCTAGGTAATTGCAGGCTGCTACCAAAGGTTAATTTTGCTCTGTAGCCTTCTCCCCAGGCTGCTGTCTCTGGCCAGATCTGGTAATTGAGCGCCTGCAGAACAGGTCAGTTCTGCTTGCTGATTCAATAAAACAAATTAAACCACCATAAATGCTCTGTTCACCCCGTGGCTTTCATCCAGTTTGCAGACTGCCACCTAAAAGCTCCACACTCCATGGACAACAGGAGAAACTCCAGTTAGGTTGGCAATTCTAGTATTAAGAATAGAGACATTAACTGTTATTAATTAGAACTGGGGGAAAGGGCTTTGACAAAAGCATGGTGAGTGGCCGCCTTTGGTGTAATTCCTGCAAGACTGTAGGACACATGGTTATGCTTGCATTTCTCCTAGCGTTATGTTTGAAGATGCAGCTTTACTATTACACTAGCTTTATACAGGGGTTTTGTTTTGGCCTTGAAGTCTTTCTCCCCAGTTAGCCATATCAAGAAATTCTTTCCTTTGAGGCAGTAAGTTAGGATGACCTCACCTTACTATTCTTTGTCCAGGAGAACTAAAAGTAGTGGAAAGACTGGATGGGACAGCGTGCAGAAAGCAACGAGTGCCACACAACACAGCGGGTATGTTGCCCAGGGACTGCTAAGTGAGGGTCAAAGTGCTGCTTACCTTGGAACTGTGACAGCGTAGATAAAAGGGACTTTCTAAATAATTTCTGAGCTTCCTCGTCCATGTGGTCACCGTACATTAGCAGACAGTAGTGAAATCCTAGGTTTTACTTGAAGTCCTCATAGTCTCTGCTCCAGCTGCTTTCATGATTCCTACCCTAATTCAAACAGAGCAATCTGTTGCTGAACCTTGGCAAAAGCAGGCAGACATAAACAAGACAGGCTCCCATTTTGTTCCTGAACAGGTCTACAGAATAAAATAGGATGAAAATAATTTTGGAAGTCTACTGATTTTACAAGACCTATTAGATTCCCCCTCACATTCAGTCGCCTGGTTTTCCATGTTAGTGTGGAAAATATACAATACTTAAGGTCTCAGAAAAAAGTGCCCCAAAAAACTGTCACCATTGCTGCATCTGCTTTGTCTTGAATATTTTGGCTTAGGACATACGTACCAGTGCTATTTTAGAATCACCAGATAATCATACCCTGAGCAGGTCTCACCGGCATCATGTTAAACAGCAGGAAGACAGCTTTTAGCCCACATTCACGAATGTTCCTGCTGCCTACCAAACCCGAGTTGAACAAATAAAGGGGAAAAAAAAAAAATCACATTGTTTTCTGACAGCCACAATTTCTTCATTAGGTGAGGGTTTTGTACGGTATGAACTGTTCTGACATTAGGAATTGAATCACTGCAAGGTCCCTTACAGCCAGTCCGTGCTTCTGGGATGTATTTTCATAATGCTTAGGAGACAGTAGCAATAAATAGTTGGTTTTAAGTCTTTCTCCTCAATTAACCATATCAAGAAATCCTTTCCTTCATGGCGATAATTTAGGAAGCCTTGAAAAAAAAAGTCCAGAAAAACATGGTTACTGAGGTTTTTTGCTTGGGTTTTGCTAGGAGTGTTAATAGCTTACTTGACATGAGGTTCGGAAAAGAAAAGGCCCAAGTTTACCTATGCCTCTCCTCTGGGTTACCAGAACAACTCTGACTAGGAGATACAAAACAAAATCTGTTTGTTAGCACAAACAATAGTAAAGCTGCATCAAAAAAATGAAAATAAATAGAAAATATAGAATCATAGAGTCATAGAATCGTTTAGGTTGGAAAAGACCTTTAAGATCAAGTCCAACTGTTAACCTAACCCTGTCATCCCACCACTAAACCACATCCCTAAGCACCTCGTCTGCCCGTCTTTTAAATATCTCCAGAGATGGGGACTCAACCACTTCTCTGGGCAGCCCATTCCAGTGCCTGACAACCCTTTCTGTGAAGAAGTTTTTCCTAATGTCCAACCTAAACCTGCCCTGGCAGAACTTCAGACCATTTCCCCTCATCCCATCGCCCATTACCAGTGAAGTCTAAGTCAGCATCAGGCTCCCCAGCAAAAACCTCAATGACCGTTTAGTCATACTTTGAAGAGTTTTAGAAGTCTCTTCAAAATTCAGATAGGTTGTTTCAGTAGAAGAATCATTATAATAAATAACAGAATACAGATTACATAGCGACTGGTTTGTTAATCATAAATCAGGTAATAAAATATCCACTGCGTCCTGCTCAAAGCAGCATTTATTAAAGATAGTATCAAGATAAGTCAATGCCTAGTGAAGCTTTCCCTCCTACAAATATGTAAACAAGTTGACAGCAAGTTATTATTACAATATAAAAATTAAAGCTTACATTGCATTTTTTTTTAAAGCTACTAACTTCAGTCTCAATGCAGACAGTCTCTGGTCTGTAACATTTTAAAATGTTCCTGAAAAATGTTATATTGCCTTTGCACATACACGTCTGTAGAAAAATACTTAAAAATACCAACTTCCCATTAGTAAAAGCAACACCAAAAATAAAATGCATCTTTTTGTAATGAACAACATGTTAAATGCATCTAGCATTTACCCAGCATTCTGTTTAACCAAATTATTTTCTGTTCATTTTAAAATGCATTATAGTTTGCACAAAATATCTTGGATAATATTCAGTTACTTTCACATAGCAAAGCAATTAGCATTAAGTAGCTAAAATTGGCAATTACCTTGTAATCAAGAGTCTGGCCTAAGTTTATTTGCTACTGAGGCCATCAATTTAATCCTCATCTCAAACTATGTATTTTCACATGTACAGGAGGCTCTTGTTAAGAAACCCGAGTCAGTTCAGATATATTTTGGAAAGGCTCGAAACCTTTATATGATTTAACAAGAAATACATATTCTCTTTTAAAGTACCTTTAACCTCTATGTAAGTTTTTCTTTATATTAGCAGCCCTGTTGGTGGCAGTCAGTCAATTCTCAGGAAACACTGTTCGTAAGATTCTATAACTTGATTTACATTCTAAACCCCAAAAGAATGCCAAGTTAAATTTTGATTTTTGTTTAACATTTTTCTAAGAAGTTTACCGGCAAGAGCTGGACAAATCACTTTTGCAGTTACAAAGGCAAAAAAGTTTGAAAATTCCCTGTACACAAAGTTTAAAAGACTGTGTAGTGTTTCAAAACCAAGCTAAGCTAAATTCAACAAGCAGAGACAAATACATATCATTGGGATGAAAGCTAATCATGCCATTGTGTCCTGCCAAGCATTAGCTGACGATGAACAACAAGGAAAAAAAAAATTAAGATAATATAGTGAACCAGTTTCAGGATGAATTCAAAGAGCAAAATCGGGCTGTCAAGAAAAGAATCTTACAGTAGGATATTAGACTGAATAGACAGCCAGGAAAACACTGGAGTTTTATCACTTAAGACAGTATCTGAGAGAACGCAAGTACATTTATATGCAGACAGTAATGGCTGTGAATAATACTGCCAGCTTCCCTAGTTCCATGCATAGCTCAGAAAAAGGAGCTTTTATTTAGCCTTTGTCACTACTTAATTAGCAAGTTAAGCCTGCCAGAATTTACAGCCTCAAGTCCATAATGACACAGAGAGCAAGTTACTGACCACAAGTGCGGTAGAGCCTAAACTACTCAGGTGATTGCTAGCCCTGGAAATGGGAAAAGAACACAACTCCCGAAACAGAATCTACCTGAACCTGTAACAGGAACTGTAATTCTGGAAGAAGGGCTTACCCCGCTCCTTCATGCAGGATTCCGATTTATAGGAAGATGATGATTTTAATGCCCCATGCTTGCAGATAAAACAGACATGATGAGTTGAAGGAAGATGCGGCAGCAAGTGCTCAAGGAGGACACTCAACTGGAGAATAAGAGTTCGAGATCCCACCCAAGGCCCGGGTTAGTCCAATTTTCAAAGAGGGGCAGGATGCAACTACAAAAGCCTCAGTTTTCCTCTAATGCAAAAACACACAAGTGATGAACTACACCCTGGCGAGGCTGCCTTTCTGATCACTGCCTTCCCCACAGACAACAGCTCCTTATAAAAGCTAGATCACAAACTGCTGTTTTGGTTAGAGGATGGGATTTTGCACTACGCTCATCTGGGAGAGAGCAGCCTTTCTGTCTTCCGGTACGAAACTGTGTCTTTGAGTAAAGTAATAGAAGCTTTGGCCTTTTAATCACATATGGACTGTTGCAACTTCTTACTAAAGCATTTAACTTCCTTGGAGATGCTAAAAGCACTGCGCCATCAGTACTGTATATTTGACCAAGGCTTCGCACTTGGCTTACAAATGCCTACAACAGCAAGTGAGTAACGCAATGCCAATACAGACCAGCTGTATTTTTATCCACACAATTCAAACCCTGGCCCAAAGTCTACAGAAGACTGCTTCAAATGCCAGTGTATATTAACAGCCCATTAAGTGCTTACCAGCAGTGAACCTGCTATAGCTGTAATACAAAGAAAAAGAAGCGCAGCAGGCCCAAGCCTTAAGAATAAGTTTAAAAGCATTGCAGTAGACTTGCAGACGACTGTCATACCTGGGGGAAGGTCTAAGGATTGGAGTCCGAGATCCAAGGATAAGAGGGATCATACACCATTTTCTCTTAAGAAAAGTAACACCATCTGGCCCCATGCCAAGTAATAAAATACTATCTACAAAAAGTAGGTGTTTTCTCCCTTAATCCACAGTAGAAATAGTCACATAGAAAACTAAAATCAGCCTAATTCTCAGAATTGCAGAAAATAGAACCAAAGGGGACCTCAAAAAAACAAGTCATTTGACAAGTCCCTGCCTTGAATGACATTCCAAAATTGATCTCTGTGCGAACAGTTACGCCATAGGACTCTGGGTTATAAAATGGCTGACTAGAACAGCTAGACTTTTAGAAAAAGCTATTTGTATGTAAATATTTTAGTAATAACTTGAGCAATAAAAGGAAGTACTACACAGCCAATTTTAGAATCCACATATGATATGAAATACACAAACATACATTTTCAAATATATATATATATATTCATTCTTAAAGCACTGCAGAGCAAAACCAAACCAGGGCCTGAAATCATACATGCCTTCATGTCAGCATGACTTCTAACACACAGCTGATGGGCTGATCAGATCCCTGAGGTCTATCACTGGTATTGCTACAAGTTTCATTTACCACAATTTTAACCAAAAACTGACTTAAACTATGTTACATCTCTCTAGATGAAGGAAGAAGACAGACACAAACAAAATGACAACAAAAGAAAACAAAACCCCAACCCACACAGATAAAAAAAATGCCACACAGCCTTGTAACACATAGAAAGGCACCTGATAATATTGTTAAGTGTTAGTAGCAATTATCTACAGCATCCTAAGCGTACTTAAGCAATCAAAGATTGCTGGCATTCAAAAGATAATTCTAACCTACCTAAGAAGTCACTAAAATGACATGTGCAGCTGTAAATCAGTAAGTGTGCAAAACTATAGTTTTGCATAAAGTGCTAAATGTACCCCCAGTTTGCACCTATTAGTATTATATAAGTTCGTTAAGCTTGGCAATATGATGCAAGATGATGTTCTTAAGGATGTACCCTACCTACCAAGTCTTTCCTTTTCCTTCCCCACCATCATCCACTATCCTTTAAACTGCACATTTTTAAATTACACAAAGGTCTTTACAGGAATTGTAGTTCAGAAAAATATTTCAAGTATAATTATCTTTCCATGTAAACTTAGGGACACTATGGGTTTGATTTTCACAAGTGCCAAATACTTACAACTTCTGCTAATTCAATTGGAGTTGTAATTATTTCAGTCTGTTCAGTACCTCTGGAAAAACTTTCCTATTCCTCATTTAACTCCTATTTAAGGAGTGCTGAAATTCATACTATAGCTTGTCCAGGTTGAAGTCTAAACAAGAAGCAATTACAGAAAAGCAGAGTAATACTTTATCCAGCCATTTAGGTTCATAAAACCAAGTCCTACCGCAGCTATTCATACATACTCATTTTATGAATCATACACAGGTCTTTTAACAATTGACACTGAATTCAAGTTATTATAATACAGCAGTTTGTCTTGCAGGCTTTGTGCAATACACTTAGAAGTATACAGCGGGTCTCTTCTTTACTCTGTATTTCAGTGATCCATACCGTATCTAAGGGGAAAAAAAAATTATAACTTCACAAAGAGTTGAGATCAGTTCAGGCAGAAATATTTTTACCATTCCACTAACCCAACCTAGTAAGCATCTTTAAGTGTGCTTTTGACACTCCACAGACTCAGCAAGAGAACGTACCTATGATTGACTGAGACCCAGTTTCAAGAGAATTGGGCAAGAAGGGTAAGTCTCAACTGTTTTCCCAGAATTACCCAAAAACTTTTATGAGATTCCATAGACATTTATTCTGAAAGATCTTTAAACTTTGTGATATATGCAAACATAAAGCACTTTGAATCCTACATGGGATCTTCTCTTTTTGGGTTACAAGTCAAAGTAGACCACATATCTATGGGAACTAAAAAATTCTGCATCTTCTTTAATCCATTAAACAGCAGATGTTTAAGAACAACCAAGACACACAAATGCAGATGACAATACTGCTATCTACACCCCTTTCAAGGTGAGCAGTTCCTGGCATTTGGGCTTGGTGGTGCCAGAATTAGCATTACAAGACAGAGTCTATTTCATCTCCTCCTCCCTTTTTCCTTGCTTAGTTCATTTCATTCATGTATTTTCCTTAAACACCCTGAAGTACAAAAGCTCCAGCTTAGATATTGTTGTCACATACTACTTCTCCATTTAGCATTCTACAACCCAGTTATCATTGATAACCCTTCTGAGATTAAGGAAAAAAAAATTCTGCATTATTAAAAATGCCAAGGTACCTTGTTAAAAAACTAACTCAATACTTGACTGAGATTATACTTGCCTCTTTACGGCCTTTAATACTTTTCACAGATTTCATGCTTTGAGTTCTTCGAAGGCCTCTCTGAGCAACCATTTCATCCTCTGAATGTGCCCCCTCCATCTCTTCATCTGTTTTATCATCCCCAGGACTTTTTTCCAGTGGCGCTTTGTAACCTTTAAAAGGTTTTATAAAAATGTTTAACAAAGTACCTGTAACTTTTAGATTTTTAAGAAAACCATGAGTTTAATCTTTAGCACACATCCTTTATTCTTTTAAATGATATGGTCAGTCTGCCCGCTGTTTCAAAACAGCAAAACATCTAGTCTGCCAGGAGCTTGCTACTTATAATTCTGCCATTGGTAAGTAACACGCCACTTCATTCCATAGTTATGTAATTCAGCGGTTCCTCAATTGTCAAAAATCAAACCATCAGTCTGCTACCATCTACTGCTTTACACTGAACTGCAAAAACCTCAGTGGTCACCTGTAGAAGTAACTTATGGGTTTTGGCTACAATCCCCACAGGAGGGCACATTTGACTAGATGATCTTTCAAGGTCCCTTCCAACCCAAACCATTCTGTGATTTTGTGATTCACAGGATCTTTCTTCATACTTGCATACCTCTCTTCATATTGAATACCAAAGTTCCTTTCAGATCGATACAATGTCAAACTACACCTTGCCATTCTGCGATTCTGTGCTATTAAGAACTGTTTAAAACCTACAAAAACAGGACCAAGATTATTACCAAATATTCTCACTAGAGGGCGCAAACTGCTTTAACACATAACCTGAGGAGCTCCTTAGGGTCAAAGAGCCCTAAATCCCCATCACAGACTTAATCATGAGGCCCCGGAATGTGGTCCGGTTCTCCCCCGCCCCCAACTCTCCTTTTATAAGGCCATTCCAGAACCTACAAGCTGTAAACACTCAGACACCTTTCAGACTCCAAACCCAACTTTATTCATAAACAAAGTACATTTCATCTTAAGCCAGTATTTTATTTAGGCTTAATTAGATTATTTTCCTTTGGTCATTCCTTTTTTCCTGAAATCAGAATCACGCCTACCCCACAGCTACTTAAGGCAGGCTGGCCTCTTCTGCCATTCTAAAGGCAACATGTCTCTGCCTCCAAGACAGTTTCAATTCATCTTTTTCAGTATGGAAGATCTGAATCGCATCTGTTACTCATAGTTTCTGACTAGAGATGTTTGCAGTGACACCAATACTTCCTTATCTCTATTTGTAACACCTCTTCTGATGCATCAAAATCACATTTGCCTTTTTCACAGCAACCATACTGGCACTGGCAGCTCAGTCATCCTATGATCAATGTCCTTCTACAACTCGGTCTTTTCAACTGATTTGCACAGGAACTCCCAGCTCAGCAGAATGTTATTTTTTGTGATTTAAGTGCAACAAAATATTGCTACATAGTGTTCCTAACTCCAGCCACGGTTTGTTCTTTTTTTAACATCTCTAACGCTGAAGAAACTTCTAAAGAGAACAGAAGAGGTGCACACTAGATTTGGGTCCAGGAATAGAAATAATTTAAGTTAAACTAACTCTAAGAAAGCATTTTGACATGTGAGACTGAATCTCACAATTTACAGTTATTTATACCGTATAAACTGTACCCGAGTACATTTTTTTTTAAATGGAATTTTGAGCATTTTCAAGCTATTTCAGATAGATAAGTAATGCCCTCTTACTGAGGAAGAGCCCCTGCACAACAGCGGCGGTGACATCATTCTTAATGCAACACCTGATGAATTCATAGGCTTTCTCTCTGGCCAGTACCCCCTTGTCTTTATGCTGACCTGCACAGGATACCTTCTGGGCTCAATTAGCAATTCAGCTGAGGGCCATTCAGGTGGCCATTTATTCCTCAGAAACACCATGAGCTACCATGCAATTCCTGGAATTCCTTGTGCTCCACAAGCTCCACCCCTCCTGAAATGGAGGGATGAGAAGAAATGACAGACTTCAGTGAGGAGAAAAGAAATGGACCAGAGCTATTTCTTTCGTGTGAAATATCAACCACTTTACATTGTAGTAGCCTAACCATTTAAAAAGGTGCAATTGACAGCCTTGCACCAAAACCTTCCTTCAAGCACCATGGGCTCAAGAGCAACGTGATTATAATAATAATAATTAATAATAATATATTTAATACAATAATAGAATAGTAAGACTAATAATAAAATCTCTCTGCAAAAAAGATATTGGTCACTACACACCATCTTTTGAGTGTGGACGTGCATCAGTCCATTGTGACAACTTAATGCCTTCATTATTCTTACCACAACAAGCAATTTTACATTTTGAACTATTGTTACAGATCTACTGAATTCATTTCCATTAATGTTCTCTTCCTATTTATTGAGTTTCCATAAATTTTCATATTTAACTTTTTGTACATCTGTCACAGAAACACCACTTAAATAACTTTTTTTTTTTTTAACTTCCAATTAAGCTTTACTTTGGCAAGGAATTCTCATTGCTAATTGGCAAAGATAGGAGTAGTGAGTACAGTATGACTACACTATTAGTGGCTGAGAAAAGAAAGTAATTCAGGGAGCATTTCTCAACTGTTGTCATATATCTTGCTCAAGTCAACTCTGTTCAAGTGCACTGGAATTCTTTGAGGCCTTTTCCATTTCTAAATGGGGTAAAAGTATTTCTGCTTTCCCGCTTTTGTCTTCAGTGACTTGTTCTTTTAGCTAGAAAAAACAGATTGATACTTACCTGAAGGTTCATTTGCTCTGGTTTTCTTTTTTGCTTCTGGTAATGTCTGATAGGGTCTCTGTCCTACTGGCTCATCTCCTTGTATAGTAGTCAAATCATGCATACTGAAACTTCTCAGTTTCTCAGTTATTGCACCTTGACTCTGAAATACAACAACAGTATCTTTGAAAACAAAGCAGAGGTTTAACTTTGCTGTTCAAGTTCGGTTAAGATGTTTAAGCCCATGCTTCCCTGTTGCACTACAAAATTCATTGAACATAAGCATGCGGTAAGTTTATATTTGCTTTAAATACTGCTTTTACCCAGGCTTAACTGTATATTGCTCCTAGACAAAAAAGTTACAGATAAGCTAGCAGTTTCATTACAAATGTCTCATTTCACTTCTTTAATCTGAGTAAATAAAGGCTTTTTGGATGAGGGGAAGTGTTTAAAAGAAAAAAAAAAAACCATCAGAAATGCTCCATTCACTTCAAGCATGGTATCTCTCTAGCAGTGCTAGGTAGCGTGACAGTGGGTTAAACACTTCCGTTTTAAAAAGTGTGGCTGAAAATAAATAAAGATTTCTGCTATTTTATATTTTACCCTCTACAAATTTGAATATGCATAAGAAAGGAAAAAAAGTGTTAAAAATACACTCTGTAACATGAACTCAAGTAACCGAGAACTGGCAGCACTACAAAAGCTCCAGTTGACAGAAACTTGAAACCACAAACCAAAGAGGTCCTGCCTGGACTACAGGCGAGCAGGTTCTCTTACTAATGGAGCTTTACTGACATAATACCAACCCAAAACCTAATGCTACATACAACGATAGCTGATCACATTTGAATATTAGTATTCCTTCTCTGATTGTCTTCACATCTTTTGTACATGGGGACATATAGGAAGTTGCCATTTGGAAAGAAGGGTCATCAAGCAGCTCTTTCATCTTACACCAGATGATGTTATTATTAAAGCACTGAAGCTTAATTTATTGTATAAACAACTAAAAGAACAAGCACATTACTCAATGTCATGTTAAAATAACATTTAATTCTTCCCTCTCTCGCATATGAGGCAAAAAAAATAACCGTTTCAGAGGAAGGTTGACAAAAGCCTGTGCACGAATCCCACTTCAATCGAGCAAGGATTCAAGATTTTGTTTCACTCTCACAAATGAAACATTTAAGTAAAATTCTTCATTTGAGCATTATGTTAGCTAGCAGTAGCGGAAACCGGGGTACAATTCCACACACCTTTCTCTGCAACAGCACCAGTGTAAGGCAGTTCTTGCACCACTGGCCACAGCCATTTGTCCCTACTCTCGTGGCAACAACTGTTTGCAGATCGTAGACCAGCACACTAAATCATGCCATGTTAAAAATAACCATGAAAAGTGAAGAGACAGCAGAGTCATACTACTTAAGCTTGTATGGCCACCAAAGGGGGTGGGGGGCAGGGGGGAGGCAGTGGCTGAAACCTAACATTCATTTTCTAATTACTAGCCATTAGTACAGCATGTAAAGCTAAGACAGTGTGCTACACAGGCAAGAAGAACCTATTTTAATTCTTATACCACCATTCACACATTGCCACTCAACAATAGTGAAGGGGTTTCCTTGAGAGAAAAAGAAGCCTTGACTTTTCTAGTGCGTCGTGCAGGATGACTGACAGTTCTCAAGAACACAGCTACAGCTTGCCTTTGAGAAAAAAGGCCCTACTAACACTGAACAGTGTCTATACTCTATTGTAGAAATTCTGAAATTAATTTTATTCCCTGAAATGGCTTATTTAAGGCAGGTCTGTCCTGCCTTAAGGCAAGAATCCTGCCCTTCCACTACTCCAGTTCTTGCTTTGAAAAGCATTTGCACAGTAAACCGAATCAGGAACCAGCCATACCTGAGAACTGACAGTCAGCTGCTAGGACACTAGAGAAGCAACCCGAGAGACAGGATTGCTTCTTTTGACAAGTAACAGCATACAGTATGTGCTCTAACACACAAGACTGTTGATCAATCTGCATCCACTGCTTGAAGAGATGCAACTGGACTCAGGTCTCAATCACTGAACACTGATGAATGCATAAAGTGGACCCAGCTGGTTCTCAGCAGAATCCATATAAATTCAGCAAAACTCCACTCGCTAAGTGTGGACAGAATCTACTATAAAATAGTGACAGAAGTTGGATTTGGCCAGAAACAAAAGTATAGAAAGACACACTTGGGTAACAGTTCCACAGCAAGTTCATTCATCATGTGATGTACTACAAAAAGACATTTGGAAGTTGTACAAGATTAACATAGTCAAGATTGTAATAACTAACATGCTAAGAAGAATTCACATTACAAGCTTGTATTTCCTATTCCACTGTAGATATAGAGGACTAGATCCAAGCTGGGAACATTGTCTTATTTTTCAGTGCAGCTTTTTGATACAGAATTTTGTTTTTCAAACGGGAAAAAAGTCAAACTATCTGCCATAAAATAACATTCTGCCCTTAACCAAACTGCTAGAGCTCCTGTGGAGTACTGCCTCATTCAGTGAGGACAGAACCAATTCATACAATGGGCCCTTCATTCCAGAAGTACAAGATGGAAAGTTTCACTCAAGTTACACACAGCAAATATTAAGAAGTTTGAAAGGATATGTATACAAATAAGAGATGCAGCACACATGCCTGAGAGTCACAGTAGGAATGGGGGCTGCACAACCACTGCTGTATGGCACAGTCATGGTCACACATTGTACTGATCCTATGCAGGTACTCCCTACGGTCCCCCCCCAGTCTCCATCCCACCTCTAGGAAGATCCAGCCTAGCTAAATCAAGATTGATTTCTACTTCACACACTGCATAGACTAATAAGAGGAGAAATTCCAAGGCGTTTTGTGTACGTGCGGGGTTTATAATTAAAAAAAAAAAAAAAAAATCACTGTGCTCATACAGCGCTTAAGATTTAAGAATATTCTTCCACCCCCATGCCCAAAAGCAGCAGATAATTGCTTTCTGCTAAAACAAAACATTCTGTGAGGGTCTGGATTACTATCAGCTCAGAATGAAAGTCTGGCTGAAAAATATTAAATACCCTCTACTGCAGGAAACGTGAGAGTAACATTCACATGTAGAATATTAATGCACGAAGAGCTTTGATATCTTGTTGAAAGTTCAGAGAGTTACTGGCCACAGCTTGAAAGCAAGGTGTTTGCCCGCAAAACAGAAGGCAGAGCAACGCAATTGCAGGTGGAGCTGAAGGGGGATCTCCTGCTTCCACACTCACAGCATGGGTGCGGCAGCAGCCACCACCTCTCCGCAGCCATACAGCTGTTCACGAGAAGATGGCAGAGCATTTGCCACACCTGCACTGGTGTCCCATTATTTCAACAGTTCCTATCAGTAAAGAAGAAATACAGTGGGCTGCATCCAGCCCAGAGGCTGTCAACTAAACTATACCACAAAAGATTGACACACACATATTTACAATTACAATGCAGGCAAAAAAGCAGAGAACAACTTTAGTGCTCAAATTTCTATGTAAATGAATGTTGAAGAGAAATGAACTGTAGAATTTCTGTTGTCTTAAAGAAAATGCAAGTCTTGAAGAATGAGTCTGCTTATTTATTCAATAGTGCTTCCCAAAACATATTAGACGCTTTTCAGAGACCACATTCCTTACCAGTGACCAACCTGAAGCACTAATTTAAGTTGTAATGGGTTTCTAAATCTAGTTTTTGATTAATATAGCCTACTTAAGGGACTCCTTTTGAGACTACTCAGACTCTAGTAAGCTATTAGTATGCAGTCTCATCAGCTGACCCTCATATATGAAATGCCCTTCTCTACTTTATTATTGAGCATGTATTTTTATATTCTATATACTTAACCCAGTGAAGTTGCTGTAAACAGGCACCACACAGTATGTCTGCCTCAGGGACTTGGGGTTGTTTAAATTGGACTTGCACCCCCTCAGTAGTCAGGATCGCTGAACAAAGCTGCCTTCCTTCATTGGACAAGTTCTCAATGGACTGCATGTCCACAGAGCTGCTTGGAGCGTTGTGGCTGCAGAGCTGCAGAGTGCAGCACCCACATTCCCAGCTGTTCTCTCCCTGATCCGATCCGGGCTGACGGGGGGAATGACTTCTGTTCCCTCGCAACCTGGAGAGGGACCGCTGTCCTGTGAATGACCCCTGCAGCGTGCCAGGCAGTCCCAGCAGGGAGGAGGGATGAAAGTAATATTGCTGGTGAGCCGAGCTGCTCATAGTGATACTGGCTGTACGCCACAGCCGGCTGCAAGATACCTCCTTCCTCTGCCATGCCCTGAGTGGGAAGAAGGGGAAGTGGGAGCAAGGCCATTAGAATAATATTCAGTCAGCAAAGAGGCAGCAGATTCAGGATGATTAAAAGACATGTAGATACACAGCCCTCAAAATTTTGTTTTTGGTTTTTTTTTTTTTTACCAACTAATACTTAAATGAACAATACTTGTGTGACCTCATAAAGAACGACTGTGCACTTCACAGCTTAATTAGCAGCTGTCCTGCACGTGGTGATATATAGAAACCAGTTTTCACTAGTAGCTTGAGAAGTCAGAATTTGTGTGTTGGCAAAAATTGGAATGTACAGGTAACTGGTGTCTCAGAAGATCTGGAAAGCACATGCATCAAAGATCTAAGAAAGATCACAAGATATAATCGGTGGAACATAACATTGTGGACATAATTTCCACAAATTCATGTACTAATGAGCTGAAAGATCTCCAACAACTTTCCTATTGTTAAAGGCACCTTGATGCTGATTGTTTTATATGCTGAAGAAAGTTTTTATTAGTCACCTATGAAAGTCAGCCTAGACAATATTTTATCTCCAAGTCTCCTGAAATCAGGATTTCACAATGACTTGTTTTCTTAAATTAACATGACAATAACAATTTATTTTTCTAATGTATGCTATTTAGCAAGTTTTGAAACACTAAATTTTATATGAACAGTGGCTAACCAGCTAAAAATATCAGTACAGGAGGGTAAGCTATAAGCCGTGACTCCTGCCAATTACATTTTAACTTAACTACAGCAGAGCAGGTTTAAATCTATGTCAAATTTCAGTAGACTGACCTGGCCGGCTGGCTGCTCCAGCCTCTCCTACACAGCCAAGTAGCCTTTTAATACTAATCCCATATTGCTTTGACAGCCCTTGGAGAAAACTGCCCTTTCCCACACTTGATCTTGAACATACTCCAGAAAGTTTCCAAGCCACTTTACCACCTTCCTAAAGTCAGCATAAGCAGACATTGTAGCGTCTTTTGCTTGGCCACTTCAGTGAACAGCAGCTTTCTTTGGACCTCCTCTTGTGTTTAACCTCCCACATTCTCTACTCCTAATTTGAGATCCAGTATGTCAGAACAAGTATGCCTGCTCCTTAAAAAAAAAAAAAAAAAAAAAAAAAAAAGCGATGAAAGTGTGTCTCCTTCCTATCAAAACTGGTCCCACTAATAGGATTCCATTCCTGAAATCCTATAGCATGCTCCACCAGCTCATGCTGAAGGGATAATCTTTTCACCTGCTGGAGGCAGCAGTCAACTCTTGAAAAACAGGGAACAAAATCAAGAACACATGCACTGTCTCCATTTGCTTGCATGAAGCAGTCACGCTCAGCTTTTTGGAATGACAAACTGAAGAGAGGTTTAACATGCCAAAACAAAGATTTTCAGAGTCTCTTCTTTCATACTGTTTAAAAATCATGTCTATTTTAGGTCTTTGGTATTGCGGTGGTTGTTTTGCCCAAGCACCTCATCTGCACTGAACTAATTCTGTACAAATATTCATGAGCATGTTTAACAAGTTTTAACAAATAGAGCAGGCATCTTGCCAGTCACAGCTGAATAGCAATGAAATCTAAACACAGACATTTAGGAAAATGTTATTCGTTATTTCAGAGGAAAGTGGGAGGAGATATTTGCATTATTTTTTTTACAGTATTTCTGTAACAGCATAAGGATTAACAAGGAAGTATCCAACCTTAGCCAGACATAAGGAAAACACACAGAGCCTAAGTATCATTACAGGTGCACATTGTAATAAATTATGATTTGCTGTTTGGCAAAGAATTTGCGCTTTAGCATTTAGCATCGTTCTTAAACTTTTTCCCAATAGAGTACTTTGAGGTTTTGTTTATTGGGTTTGTTTGCTGTTTGTTTGGGGTTTTTTTGTTTGGTTGGTTTTGGTTTTGTTTTTTTAAAATAACCTATTTTCACTCTGGATACTTACATTCCTTTAGAGTTGTACTCCATTTAAATTATTTCGTGCCTCAAGGCAACACTAAGAATTTGAATAACAAAAAAGAACCAGTGATCAAATTGAATCACATTCTCAGTGTTTTCTGCTCTTTATGTCCATATTTTAAAATAAAAATATTTTTTACACCACCACCCACATATATCTTTAAAAAGAGAGAAAAAATAACAAACAAGAGATGTGTGACTATTTTTCCAAAGCTTTTTGAGATAGCATTTGAAAATGCAGTTTTAGAACTCTTTGATTTATAAAGCAAGAACTTCACATACAAGCACAGAAATTCAAGTTAAATGCTAGCTTTACCTACTTAATTTTAACAGCCAGGGAGCTCTACATTGCTTTCTATTATCTACTAACAGTACTCCAGTTTTCAGTCCTATTACTGTGAACACAACAGTTTCATTTATTCCCAGGAATAAATTAATCCTGATTGCATTAAAAATATCATTTAACTAGGACAGACACACCTCTCCATGCTTTTTTTGTGTTTTCATTTAAATGACTATTAGGTAGAACACACATTGCCTAAAGTTATATTCCTTTTGGTGGGCCACAAGTTGCTTAGAATCTTACTTATAAGCTTGTATTTTGTTTTCCTAGACCTAGAACACGCTGAAATTCAACTGAAGGTCCTAAGTTTTTTAGGAACATGAATTGGGAACAACTACAGGTTACTTCATGATTTAATGGAAATTACATGGCAAAGCAAAGAGTATGCTAAACAGCGATATGCAAGCTTATGCTTAGTATATTAAATTAATAATTCAATCAGCAAGTTGCAAACAAGTTAATTGTGTCAAGATAACTTTTATCTGTGGTAGTAATCTTTCATGCCTTACTTTATATGTGGAGTTACCTCAGGTTGATTGGAGGAAAACAGCAGAAAAGCCAGAAATCCTTTAAATAGTTTGTTTACCAATAAGAAAGCACAACAGAGACAGAAAAGAAACAATGGTCATCTTCACCAAAAGCCTGCTTAGAAAACTGCATGGTGGCTTTTGAATTACAGTAAACTGAGCCCCATCATCCAAGAAATAACTACAAATCATCTTGAACAAACAAATATACTGTGAGAAGGAACAGAATGCTGAAACCCTTAAACTGTGTTCCAGGTTTTCAATACATTTGTAGAATTAATTTTTATTTAGGAATGGCAAATCCTCAGTACAATTACACTGTTCTGTAAGTCTATCAAGGACAAAAGCAATTAATGCAAGCAGAAAGTTACCTTTACAGCTGCTGTCACTGCAGCAGTTGCTGCCAAATTCAACCCTTGCCTTCCAAAATTCACCATGGTCTCATAGCCTCTTTCTTTGGCCTGTACGATGTAGTCATCAATCTCCTAAAAGCAAAACATACTTACATTTTAGAGGGCTGTGCATAAGTAACTCACATTACTCCACAGTATTATTTTTCCATCAATAAAAGACAGAAGAAATATTTAAGAAAGTATTTAATGGGACGATTAGTCTTGCCTTTGTATGCTATTATTTCGTTCACTTATACTCTCTCATTTAAAAAAGGATTGTATCTGGTCAAACAAGAAGATAAAATAGATCACTTTTGTCCAGCTCAGACACATTTCAGCTACATAACAAGTTTCTTACAGAGAGTAAGCTTAGCTTGTCAGACAAAAGCTGTTCAAGAAATAACATGCTTAAGATGAAATCAGAGAGCTCCTTAGAAAGGTAGAGTCAAGCTCACAAAGAACTTCTGAAGTCCCAGAGCTTTGACATAGTTAAGTACCAAGGACAATAGTCATGACATTTATCCCCAGCTGTGGTAAATGCCTGGAGTTGGAGACAAAGGCTTCAAGGTAGTTCACAACAGCTAGCAGACCACAGGAAAAAAGTACCTTTAGCTTATGAAGTCGCAAACTGCTTATAGTTCAACCTTCAGAAGGTCAAGATGACCTTACTGTTCGTATCAGCAGCAATCATGTCAGCTACCTGTTTTGCCTAATAAAGGCCAAGCCCAGCACTGACCTTTATGAATGCTATTTTCTGTACTATAAGATTTTTCAGTGGTAGTCTTCACACCTTTGCTATTTGCTCTTTCCACACATCCAAACAGAATACTGAAAGAGAGCTAAGCAGATCTGTGGTCCTGTCATACTTTAGCTAAAGCTAAATATCCTTTAGCTATGTTCTGTTTGGGTATTTTCTGTCGCAGACTGGTCTTCCCTTAAATCGCAGTAGGAAGTCTCCCCTCTTATCCTTTCAAGTTTGCACACCAGAAAAGTCATCAATGTCATTTGTCCTGGGAAGTTTTTTTACTAAGTTATGCTAGAAAAAAATGTAACATGAAGAGCTGTTGCTAAAACTACATTTGTGCTTCTGCACAGAGAGTACTGCATGTGTCCTTCCAGTAGAAAGTCAAACTGCATTACTTTCACTCAACTGGGCTCCCCAAAGTGCACCCAGTAGACTGGAGAACACCAACACCAGGCTCTCTCATGTCAATAGAAAGCAGCACATTGTCTGCTCATGCAAGTTAAACAGAAGCATATATATGGACAGTCATATGCACTTGTCTCTTCTAGTCCAAGTTTATGCTGCCTGGCAAACCAGTAACACACTGATCTGCTTTTCTCATGTCTCTAGCAACAGTATCTTAGCACATGGTATTTCCATATTGGGCATTAAAAATATGAGAAGTTATTTCTTACCCTTTCTTTAGAAGAAAGAAGCGGGTGAAGGAATTTTCTGTAGATTAAACTTGCCCCTCTAGTATATGGGGAAAGGAGCCAAATAACAAAAGCTATCTTCAGTTCGTAGTACAGTGGAAACCTACAGAAAAGTTAAAGGTTGCATGAAATCAACAACTGCAGTGAGAAAATGCACAGAAATTAATCACCATGAAGAGATATCTTCAAAAAAACACAATTACATATTAGCATATAGGATTCTTCACATACAAGAAGTTGTATTAGACAAAAATTAAACAAGTTAGACCTATGGATTTAATTTTTTAATCGATCGTACTGTCATTTAAGAAATGGAAACAGTTAATATACTTGCTTTGCATTATACATTCCTGCACAGAGATATTATCACAGAATGGCAAGGGTTGGAAGGGACCTCAGGAGATCATCCAGTCCAACCCCCCGTGCTAAAGCAGGTTCACCCAGAGCAGGTTGCACAGGACATCATCCAGGCAGGCTTTGAATATCTCCAGAGAAGGAGACTCCACAACCCCCTGGGCAGCCTCTTCCAGTGCTCTGTCATCCTCAAAGAACCTCTTCCTCATATTCAACTGAAACCTCTTACGTTTCAGTTTGTGCCCATTGCCCCTTGTCCTGTCACTGGGCACCACTGAGAAGAGTCTGGCTCCGTCCTCGTGACATCCACCCTTGAGATACTTGTACGTGTCGATGAAATCCCTTCTCAGCCTTCTCTTCTTCAGGCTGAACAAGCCCAGCTCCCTCAGCCTTTCCTCATAGGGGAGATGCTCCAGTCCCCTCATCATCTTTGTTGCCCTCCTCTGGACTTTCTCCAGGAGTTCCTCATCTTTCTTGAACCGGGGAGCCCAGAACTGGACACAGTACTCCAGGTGGGGTCTCACCAGGGCAGAGTAGAGGGGGAGGATAACCTCCCTCAACCTGCTGGCCACACTCCTCTTAATGCACCCCAGGATACCATTGGCCTTCTTGGCAACAAGGGCACACTGCTGGCTCGTGGTCAGCTTGTCGTCCACCAGGACTCCCAGGTCCCTCTCGGCAGAGCAGTCCATCCTTTTAGGACGTCCATTTGCCTATTCAGCTTCTACAGCAAAGGTGGAAGTTTTATAGTCCCTACTTTAAGTGACAGGGTACAGCAAGCTACATATACTCTGAGATCTTTTTCTGAAAAAAAGAGCTAATCAACAAGCACAAAAATTAAATCATTACTAATTGAAGAACATCAGAAACAAATACAGTTTCATATAGACTTCATAAAAAGCAGGCTCTTACCAAGAGACTGTTAGGTCAGTTATTGTTTCAGTAACTGTATAAAGAGCAAACACAATCCAATACATCATCCAGCGAACCTGAAAATTAAAACACCATCTTCAGTAAGAATCTTGATTTCACCTTTCACAGAATACACTATACACTGTACAGTCAGTTCAGAGCTGTCGAAGCAAGATGTTCAACAGCATCTCAGTCTGCATCAACCAGGTTTCACGTGAGATTAGAGAAAGGTCCTAAGGGTTTTCTGTTCATAAGTAGAACTGGTGGCAGCTGCAACAAGCTAAGTGAAGTGGCCGGGTCATCAGGGTCACAACCTCGCCTAGGCCGGCTTGACAGATTTGATTCTGCCTCTAGAAAGCTTTAGCAATTGGAAAAAAAACACTGCAAAGAGTCAGTAGATTATCGTAAGTATGAAATGCAGTTCCCCTACAGCACTAAAAAAAATATTCCAGTCTCTTCCACACTCATCCACATGTTTATACCACAAACACAAATGTCAACACTAGTAAGTCAGGTAGCCCTTGCTTTCATTTCACAATGTACGTTATTCAGCTACACTTTGCAGTTAAGTTCTACATGTGTGCTTAGCATTATAGTATTAACACTGGGGCAAGGCAGAAAAAAAAGCCTAAGTTTTCATGGAAATTTAATTCTATTCAGATAGCAAGAATTACAAAATTCTTGTTAATAAAAGAGCTCGCATGTAAGTATCTTAATGTTTCAGGCATTTTTATACCTATATACTTTTAAGGTTTACACTATACGTCATTGTTTTGAAATCAGACAATGCTCTTAAAACACAAGTTTTAGTTCTGTTTTCTAGTAAACTAAATCTCTCATTTATCTTGAACATTTGTTCAGATCTGGTTGTCTAAACTGATTACATCTTTCAGAATAAATATTATAGAAGTAGTTCCATGCATTTGTCTTCTCTAAAATACATTGCATTTGGCCACTGATATTTCCAAAATAGGTCAATGCAAACCACCACTGTTATTCATACTAACTGAACACCCACATGTTCTTTAAATTCCAACACTATCTATGCTAGAAAAAAAACCAAAACAGTTTAAAAAAAGAAAGAAAAAGAGAAGAAAAGCATCACCTGCAACCAGATGCAGTAACCTCATTTCATTTACGATATACAGACTACTAACTCTTCTGGTACACCCACAAGGCATTAAACACCATATTTGTTAGACACTAGTTTAAGTCGTGGATTCACAGCACCCTCTTTCAAAAGGAGGAATATATATACCTTCCTACAGAGGACCTGGCTCAGATTTAATCACTTCTAAAGCAATCTTTTTTTGACGTGGACTTAAATAAGTACTCAAAACCTAACGCTCCACTGCTGCCTATTTCATAGCTGTGCATTATGCTTTAAAACCACTTCCTTTGTCACAACTTGAGACCCATTTATCTTAAATGCTTTTCTGCATTTCAATTTGAAAAGAAACTCAGTCATGTGATGACATTCTTCACTTCAATCTCTCAGAGGATTTAGATATTTCAGGCTCGAATAAGCTAAGACAAACGTACACAACAGCTGAAGTCATCTCTGACAGGCCATGTGACATTTGGACTGGTGACCCTTCCATGAACCAGTCGCAACACCTGAATAAAAATAAAAGTAACATCCACCCCATCAACCTAAGCACGATGCAATGCAATTTTTAAGATGCCATGCACAACTGAACTTTTTTACAATGTATTTTACCCAGGCTATTCATTCTTTAATCAACATCTATTTATCCAATTAGGAACAGCTATAGAAGTGGAGTTTCTCTTGGGCTGATAGGAACAGCAAGAAATGCTCTGCAGAAGGCACATAAGATCTGCCAGGAGTCCTGCTGAGGTCTGGGCAAAGATTCTCAAAAACACAAGTCAAATTATATTCTAGTACAACTAATGCATTAGGTACCAAAAGTATCCTTGACAAATGAACCTGAGCGACTCTCAGTGGTTTTCGTATCAGAAAAAAAAAAAGAAAACCAGCAAGTCATATTTAACACTGCCCAAAAGACCATCATCTACTTAAGTCTTAAAGATGAAGTTACAGAAGCTTTGACTGAGTTTTGCTTTTTATGTTAAAAGGGCAATTACAGATTTGTTTTGTTGAGCTCTTTTTATACCATCCAAGTGTTAAGCTCATCTTTGTTGGCTTTGGCAGAAGCACATCCTTTCAAGTCAGGTTTTGAGAATACTGGTCATTCAGACTTCTAAACTCTGTTTCAGATGCTTATTACAAGCACTTTGGTGTAGCAGTGAAAAAACTCAAAGATCTTCATCAACTCCATTAAACTTGGGTAATTACAAGAACAAATAAATCTCCTCAAAGGCACAGATCCTAATTTCTACAACTGAAGTCCATAAGTCTTTTAAATCACCGAAGCCAGCAGCAACACACTTTTTTCCCCCCCAGAAATAATCTTTGAACAATTTGTTACATCATAATCTACACAGCAAGTCAAGATGCCAGTACTTTTTGGTTTTTTGTTTTTTACTGGTGGAAGCAGTGGCTAAGTCAAAATTTCACTGTTATAAAGCTCCTGCAACCCAGCAAACCCAGATGGCTCCTGAGCCACACACAGCCCTGGAAAGGAAGTTGTGCTTGGCCCATAACATGACTGACAGCAGAGCTGTGCCATTTGAAAGGCTGCAGTTAAACCTAAACCCTCTCTGTGAAAGAAAATGACCCAGCTGGGAAGATGAAAGCCACCGATCATCCCTAAGATCTATCTGGACACTCAACCCAACCAACAATGGAGCAGTAGTTCACCAATGAATCAATGTCATTCCCTGCCCATGAAAAAGTCACTGTGATGGGTGTCATTCATCTCAGCCCCATGAACATTTTGTATGCAACTGCAAATTCAGGGACTGGTCAAAGACCACAGGTGACTGAAAAGCAGTGTTTTCAGACTAAATGAAAACACACAGTTGGAAAAACACAGTCCAAGGCCCTACTAAAAGTGTTGTGTAAGTGACAGGCATCTCTAAAAAAGATTGCCCACGACAGCCAGCTAAGTCCTAGCTACCTGGACAATTAAGAAAAGTCAAAATCTCAGCATTCTACAACCATTACTTTTCTTTTTCCAGAAAACATATTGCAAGAGTCAATGGTAACCTCTTAAAGTGATTTCTTGTGTTAAGAGTTCAAAATTCTATCCTCTGCTTAAGCCTGTAGATCTCTTTTGAGGGAGCAAGGAGGAAAAGCAGATTATAAATTCTTTGCTTTATATCCTTTCCTGACAGGGCAAAGTAAGCATGAGACAGAAGAAATTCTTCTCTTATTTTTCATGATTTTTCCTCCCAGCAGCTTATCTCTGGGTAGGCACTAGCTCTATGTGCGCAAATAAGCTCTAATCAGCTTGTACACAGAAACCTGAAGTAGTATGAATAAGATGTCCACTTTGGAGCCTTGATGGAGTGATCAGACTAAATGTAAGCCATACAAGGGGAAGAACAATAGCTACAACCAAGTACAAAGTGGAGATGTCACACATCCAGGCAGCAGAATTAGGTCACAGCTACAGGGCTGCAGAGCTAAAGTAACTGATGGCACTGACTCCACCCAATATAGGTTAGCTCCCGAAATCCAGTTAGGCTGCTTCTTCAAACAGGGATGTATCTCAGTGACCAAACCTCCTTGTGACTGTAACTAGGTAACATTCTTGTGGTAATCATCATTGCTCACACTGAAAAGGAAATAATTAAGATTAATTCTAAACTGCAGTAACTACAGTGATTGTGTTTTTCCCCATCTTACTCCGTTCTGCTTCTTTCTTCCACATGACCTTAACCAAATCTTTTCCTTCTCTGGTTACATTTTTTCTCCTCTTTGAGGAACAATAGATTAACCAGAGCTACCCTTCCCTCAAGTAGATTTTAAATCCCCTGTTGAGCTCCATACAATGACAATTAAACTGCTGCTACTGTTCAAGTGCTCACTGAGAATCAATTTGTCATTGCTTATACTACAGGTGTTGGTAGAATTAGGAAACCTTTTTTCTACCCCCTGCCTGGAAGTCCATTATTTTGGGCACTTCACTGAAATGCAGCCAACGCTTTCAGGTTTGCGTTTAAAAATCCCCCTAAAAATACCTGTATACAGCATAGTGTGTTGGATACATTTCAGTAAAGTCTATGAAAAGTCTGAGAAACCTCAACTTTAGCTCTCCAAACAAAATCACAGGATTACCACTACATTCACACAGGTGTTGTATCTAATACCAAGATAGTTAATCAAGCTTTCATATTATTTATTGCACTACATAATGAAAATTTCATGGTTGTATGTCAGAGGCATTTAATAAAGCAATTAAAAGGAACAAGACTTACATATTCCTTCACATTTTTTGTCTTCACAGCTTTGTATGAATAATACGCAGGATACAGCATCCCGAACACCAGCCTATTGGAAAATAAAGAGAGTTTTCAGAATCTGTTATACTGTATATGACAAAATGGTGACAAGACATCATTAAAGCAACACAGCCAACTTAAAAAATCCTGTTCTCCAGCTTGAAAAAACCAAAATAGATCACGACATTATAGGCTGCTTGAAGAAAGTTTAGTGATACACAAAAATGAACAGAAAAGACTGTATGCCCTGAAGACAAGAGAGACAGGCTGCCTCTAATAGATAATGTAAAACCAGTAGCACTTCTGGTTCAGCTACAAGTAAAACCAGTCCTGCAGTCTGTCCATACCAAAAGACTGTTTCCGCACTGGCAATCCTATCACACTTATAAAGACGAGTTACATAAATATCATCTCCTTTTGCTAGAATTCTGCAACAGCAACACATGGAAATGGAGGCAAGTAGGAATTAATCCAGTTTTGCTCAGACAGACAATTTCTGCTAAAATTCATCAGAAGTAAGGTGCAGAGCAGGGTGAGCAAACCTGATTTCCAAGCAATCCATGCTGAGAGCAGGACCAGAAAAAAGATCTGCTCTAACACAAGTTTGTTACAATACAGCATTTTCTAGTAAGAGTCTTGGCCACAGACTAGTAAAACAGTTCTTGAGAAGAAATCCAACAGCAGTAGTTGCCATCTCCTTGACAAATGCAAGAGCACCATACTTCTAATTTCACCAGCTTGTTACACTTTACAAAGTCAAGCAATTGCCTGCCCTTAGTTCCAGCTGGCCTAAAGCAGCACTTGCAGAAAAGTCTGGCTACATCTCTCACTTACAACTCGCTCAGGATGGTGATGTGGGAGAAATGTACACTTCTAGGGATATCCAGAGATCTTCTAAGAAAAGTTTAGAACTCTTAAGTAATTCAGCTTCTCATAGCTAAGCAAAGGAAGATGCTTTTTTTAATAACAGTCCACATGGACCTGATCTGGCATGTCAGATTTCAACTCAAATGGTTGAAGTTTACCAAAGTAAATAATCAACTAAAAGTTAAGGTTTTATAGTTGTGTCAGGTAGCTTTAAATAAGTGGTTCTACCTACAGAGCCACTGCAGAAGACTGCATGGTGCGACCAAGCTTTACTTTACTGCTAGACCCGGGAAAGAATTTGAAGAACTTGTAGCCCAATTTACTTTTGAAGTGACTACTCCAAGAGCCTTCATTTTCTACAAGATGTTATTTGCAAAAACTACCACAGAAGCTTCCTAGTGTACAAGACATCAATGTAAGTTTGAATTCCATCAGTTTGATATACACTATCTTCCAAGCACCACGCTGATATGCAGGCAGAACTCTTCTGCTTGTTAAGAAGCCAATTTAGAATACTAAAGTAATCTCCAACAGTTAACATATGCCACAAGTAAGGGGCAAGGATAAAATTACGGAAGCATAACTGCAGAATTCTTCATGTTTGAAAGGGCCTTATGAAGTCATCCAGTCCGACCTCCTGCTCAAACCGAGGTCAATGTCAGATTTGGACCAGGCTACTTAAGGCTTCAGCCAGTCAGGTCTTGGAGACTTCCAAAGCAAGATTTCACATCCTCTCCAGGCAACAACCTGTTCCAATGCTCAATGAGCCTCCTAGCGCAAAGTTTTAGTTATATTCAGTCAGAACCAGAAGTTTATGACCATTGTCTCTCTTGACTTGAGTAGCACAGCAAGAGAATGGGCCTGGCTCTCATAACCTCCAAAAAGTTACGTAAGATAGCTAGTAAGTCCCCCCAAAGCCTCTTCTTTTCTGGCTGAACGAGCCCAGTTCATTCAGATTCTCCTCACAAGTCATATGCTGTGACCATCTTAGTGTCCTCCACTCAACTTTCTCAAATAAATTAACACCTTTCTTGCACTAAGATGCCCAAAGCCAGACACAGTCAAATGTATAAATCTCACATCTACATCCCCATCCTCTCCTGAATGTGTAATATGTATATTTTCTCCTCATATTTTCCTCATCATTTAATTTAAAAATTACAAAACTCAAAAAAAATCCTCAAACACTGAACCATGTTTCCCTACCCTTAAAGAACAAAGAAGGCTCTGAGAAAAATAATTTGTTTTAATTGAATTTAGCACAATAAAAATAATTACTACCTGATTATAAGAGTCAAAGCTAGTTAATCACAGATAGCTCTTCTCTAGGATGCATTCATACTACCTGATTACAAGAGTCAAAAATTAATCACAGATAGCTCTTCTCTAGGATGCATTCACTTCCACAGTGCAAGACTAGATCTGAACAAATCTTCCGGGGCACATTTGCAATCTTTGCATACATTGGGCATACCCATACAACGGAGTTGTGAATGGCAGATAGCAGCAGAGAAGCTAAAGGGCACTTCAAGCAGGTGTCCACAAGATTGCATTCCTCCGTAGTGGGAAGGGATGGTGCACTGCAGATCACTTAAAACAATATTGATATGAAAAAGCGTAACTGGTGTACCATAGGGGCAGTTTAAAACCTGAATCTGGATGCTCAGAATTTCACAATTCATGCTAAACTGGAGTTAACAAAAGATGGATCTTGAAGCTCTTTAATATGGATAGGCAAGCTGCTACATTACTGCAGCAGAGCTTACCTACATGCTTCAGATGTTGAATACCTTTTGAAAGAGTCCAGACTACTTAAATTCCAGTTCAGAATACTATCAGCCTATCCAAATACAGTTCTACTACTATCCAAAGACCTTTCACCCTAAGGCCAAGAAAAGCAATAGTCAAAAAAGCCCAAATGGTTTTATTCCCAACTAAAAGCATGACAACACATGTTAAAAACCTCACTTCACCCAAGTAACAGGAGATCCGGAAGCAGAAGGAATATGAAACTAAACACCCTTCATTTTGATGAAATTCTGTAGACAACAGCTCTTCCTCTCAGTTTTGTCCATGTGGAATACCCTGTTCAATAACCCATCTCTATTGACTCTCACCTTTCCTTGTTCTTCTGGCTGAAATTATAACCATTAAGTATCAGAGATAACGAAAGCCTCGTTAATCCTAATAACATAACAGAGACTTTATAAGGGCAGAAATTTATTTGTTCAAAGAAAAGACACAAAAGATGTTCCTGAACACCATAACCACTACCAACTGTCAGACAGCTGCATAATTATATGCCAGCAGTTACTGGTCACCTATACACCTCCCCCAAATTCTCAAAAAATAGTCCAAAAGTTACTTAAATAGCTACTAGTAGCATGCACACAAGTTTCTCACTATGAAGCATATGAAAGAGAAACAGTTTGAATCTTTCACTGAGTAGATTTTTGGTCTATAGTTTTCTGCTCGTTTTAGCCCCACTTTTTTTTTTTTTTTTTTTTTAAAAAAAAGGTCATCTTTTTAAATTTAAACAGCCATTTATCCTCTGAATGTGTCATCCTCTAAAATCTGGTAGAAACAAGAATTGGGACGGAACAGAATTTTTTTTGAGAGCACTGCTTCGGAAACAGTTGATCTTCAAGCAGAAAGCTTATTACCGTAAGATGACAAAGCTAAGCTAAGGAAGACCTCAAGTTAAAAAGGAACACTATCAAGAGACAAACACAATAAAGATAGTTAGTTTTCCTCACCTAACGGGTCTTTATGTTACTCAGTACTGGTCAAATCAAGAGTCAACAAAATTCCTATTTTAGTACTCATTTTTTTCTTTTAAAGAATTCTTCTAGCAATCACTTTTAAAACCAAGGAACAAGTCATTTAACACCACAATATATCATTACTTACTAGCATTCAACACTGTTCTAACATGGAAGTGTTAGAAAAACTGCCACTTGTCCCCCAAAAATGGGTAGATAGGACTCGGAATGAAAAATATCAGTACATTTAACCAGGGATAACAGGAACCAGTACTGTGAAGTTTTTCTCTCCTGACAGCCAGAGCTGACATTTTAAGCGTGGCATGATGCTGCTGCCAACTCTGGCATAGCTACCTCCTTCACATTGGCAAAGTCATCTAATCCTAGTTAAAGCTACCAGGCAATTTAACAGCAGAAAAGCCAACTTTTTGACAGTGAGTGTAGTTGAAGATTCACTTTTACCCTCAACCTATACATCATAGATTAGTATACAGGCAAAAGAGAGATCCATCCCTGCAGCTGACTGAAGCAGAAACACATGGAAGAGCAGCAGCAGGGAGCCTGGGCGCAATCAGTGTCATTGACACAGAGAGCTACAACAGCCCAGCATTTTCTAATAGTTTTCCTGTTTGCCTCGATACCCCCAAAAATCTCAAAGTTGTTAGCAACACCTACTGCCAGGCATAATAAAGCACATCCCTCCTCTGGTATTTCTACAGTAAATATACAATGAACTTCAAGGATGTGCCTAATTATTCCAAGGCTTTTCAAATTTAAAAGCTTAAGTGTTATTTTTAAAAGTGCAGTTTGTATTTCACACTGGGTATCAGCACATAGCACTAATGTAGCGGACAAAAACAAAGCCAGTTTCCACAGATGGAAACAAGATTTCAGCCAGGTGTGATGTCATTTACTTTATTTTACTAGTAGATATATGGATAATCCTGCTTACCCATGTAATTTTCTTGCCAGTTGTACGCCTAGCTATTTTAGTTTTTCAGCTGTACTCAGCAACTAATGTAGCATTCCTTTTTTGGTACAGCCACTTCCTTCACAGACATTTTGCTCATTTAAAAACAAATGTTTCTCAAATATACTAGAAGATTAAAATCAAAAGACAAAGAAAAAAAGTATAAAAAAGCCTTGAAATCTGAATAGATCAATGTATTTGTGTATCCACACAGCTGTATTAAAACAAACACAACCTACTGCCTGTATTATCACATAATCTACAGTTTTACAGTTTAAATAGCTTTCAAGTGCACAACTATTTGAAGGACTCATTTCTGAAGCAAAGCAACTGAGTTTGCATTTGACTGATAACTGAAAAAAACCAGTCACCTGTACACACATTGCTCTGGCACTGAGCATATTTAACCTGGATAGTAAACAACTCTAAAGGTAATGTTTAAAAAAAAAA